ATTAAGAGAGAAGGATCTAAAAGGATGGTAGTTAGCTAGAACCTTCTGCTACATTTTTAGATGCTAAAACACCTCTCAATGTTTTATAAATATGAGGAGAGTAGTCATCCATAAGGGACTTTTAGGAGTTTTTAATTTTAGTCTTTGTATTTTATTTCCTCTCTCCAAATAGTTCATTTATAAGCTGTTTGAAAGAAAATTTTCTTTTACTCTCCATCAAAATTTACCTTTATTGCTTCAATTTTCAATGTACTTTATGATTTCTTCAATAAAAGTTCAAGATTCTTAAGCTTTTCTATTCAATTTCAATTGATCTCAATTGTTTTTCAAAACTATTTAGCTATTTGCAATTTTGACCCTTTTATGATTTTTCAATCGATTTTTGTTCAATTCTTACTTGTTTGGAGTCAAATTTTTTTCTTAGATTCATAATTCATTGATATTCAAATGTGGAGAAAATACTTTGCAAATTCCATCTACACAATTCCATATCTAACTTAGTGGCAAAGTTAGATCTTGATCGAGTGGCAGCAATTCAAGGGACTTCTCTCCTAGCTAGGAGTTTGATTTGCAATCCTTGCACTTTACACTATTCAATTCATCTATTTACTTGTTAATTGTCATTTGTTTGGCTTTAAATTCTTGCATTTACATGTATTTGGCTAGTTTTTCTTGCACTTGCTTTGATTTTTTAGTTTTTGCACTTGGTATGAATTAAAGTTCATTGAGCTTGGATTTTAATTGTTTTGTGATATTTCTTTGTTGATTCATGTTATAAACTTGTAGATCTAGTTTATTCTAGCTTAGTTTGTGTTCATTTCCTCTAATGAGTTCCAAATCTAAATTTTCTTCCTTTGACTCGCTAGTTTCCAAACTTAACTTAATTTCAGTTTTTCTTCTTTTCTTAGTAATTCTTGTAATATCTTTTAATTATTGTTCTTCAATTCAGTTTCTCTTATAGTTTCTTCAATGGTCTTTCAATTTCCAATCCATGGTCATGCAATTTTATATGATTTAAATCTAGATTTCTAGCTTTAAGTTACAGTTTCTAGTTTTGCAATTTAACTTTTGGTTTTCATTCTTTGGCTTAGGTCTTGCAATTTTCTTTTGTTAATTGTACTATAGTGTTTCCATTTTAGTTCACTCACTATTTTTGCAATTTACAATTTAATTTCATACAAATTGAAGCACGGTAGATTTGCATTGTTTGTTGAACCTACGTTTTTTCTAGCTTTGCACATCATTTTTTATTTTTGCATGTTCAATTGAATTTTGTGCTTTTGCTTCTTAATTCTCAATTCAATTATGTTTTTACTTCAATTAAGCTATTGTATTTTACAATTTATAGCTTGTTTAATTCCTTCATTCATATTTTTCTAGTTGCTTTTTGAATTGGAAGTTGGAGTTAGTTAAGGTAGTTAGTGCTTCGTAGTTAAAGTTAGTTAATTTGGTTATACTTCTTTAGCTATTGTTTTCCTTGTTCATTGCACTTGTCATTTTCCATTCTTAGATTAGTTTTACATTTAAGTTCATGTTAATGTCATTGCATTTTATTTTAGCTACTGTTTTTATACATCTTACTATAATCATGCTTGATGCTTTGTTTGATTTTATTTTCATAGTTAGTTTAGTTTTATGTCCTTCTTTCGTTTAAGCCAACTTTAGATGGGTGTGGGGATAAAATGTACTTAGGCTAAAAATCTTTTTAGCTTATCCTTATGAGATTGACATCTAAACTTTTTAATCTTTATTATTACTTGAATGGCTTGTGGCTAAGAATCTCTTTAACTAATCCTCGTGGGATTAATTCTAGACTCTTTAGTCTTTATTATTACTTGAATGGCTTATGCGCTTGCAGAATTATCCAATCAAGTTTTTTTTCTTTGTTGCCAATAATTAGGAGTCAATAGTTTTAGGCTAATATCATCCTTCACCATACTCTACTATAGATTAGTTCATCTTTAGTGTACATACACTATATTAGTCTTACGATTGCATAGTTTTGTGTGTACATATCTTACCTTGTTTGATTGTTCATCCTTATTAGTTGTACATACTTAGATTTTTCTTTATAAAATTGTTGTTTCAGTTTAGTGATCTTATGGCCATGTATGCACTCAATTAGGAGACATGAATTGATCTCTTTAGATCTTGAGCTTGAGACTAAGCTTAAAAGATTTAGAAGGGAGAGACAACCCGATGTTACAATCACCATGGCCGAGCAAGAGACTAGAACACTTAGGAATTATGTTGTGCTTAATCTTAATGGATTCCAACCTAGTATTAGGAGGCCAACCATACAAGCCAATAATTTTAAGATTAAACTTGCAATTATCTAGATGATATAGCAGTCAGTACAATTTAGTGGTCATATGAATGAAGACCTGAATGCTCATCTTTGGAACTTTTTTGATATATGTGATACATTTAAACATAATGGTGTTACTAATGATGCCATTAAGCTTAGATTGTTTCCTTTTTCCCTTAGAGATAAAGCTAAGAGTTTGTTAGCCTCAATGCCACCAAATTTCATTACCACCTGAGATGATTTAGTTCAAAAGTTTATGGCTAAGTTCTTTCCTCCGGCCAAGATGACCAAACTTAGAAATGAGATTACAATATTTTCCCAACATGACTCAGAGATCTTGTATGAGGCATCGGAGAGTGTAGACATTTAAATTTGTCTAGGTAGAATCTAGCCAATTGTGAAACTTTTAAAACCTGACTTAATTCAAATCTAGTATTTCTTAAATGTTGACAAGTTTTCAAAATCGATTTAGAACCAATTTGACATAAAATGCCCAAGGTAAAAATTGATCAAATCTAATCAAATGAAGTCAAATTTGGTCAAAATTAGTCAAATTGAATTGAACTTGGGTCAATTTGTCAAAATTCGAAACCAAATGGGACTAGTAAAACTTGAAAATGATATTTGTGATTTTAATGAGCTAAAAATTTTGATTTTACTTCTGAAATGATAAAATTATCAAAATGCACTTTAGAGGTACTTTTATAATTTGACCTTTTTGAAGTTGGATTTTCATGAAAACTTTTAGATCACTTAAATATTATATTATGATTTTTTATGCATCAAAAACCTTAATTATTCCATAAGAGGTGTGAAATTACTAAAATATCCTAAGGGTATATTCATAAATTGACCTTCATGATGTTGGATTTTCATAAAAAAACTTCAGATTATGATATGATATTATTTAATAATTTTTGGCATATTAAAAACCTTGATCACACCTTAGAAGGTGTGAAATTATTAAAATACCCTTAAAGGTATTTTTATAATTTGATCTTTTCGATGTTGATTTCTTTCAAAATGTTTTAGCTCATGTTTTTAAATTATTTGATAATTTTTGGTGCATTAAAAACCTTGGTTGTACCTTGAGAGGTATAAAATTACTAAAATACCCTTTAGTGGTAATTTCGTAATTTGACATTCCTAAAGTTAAATTTTCACGAAAATTTTTAGATTTTAATTTTATATTATTTGACTATTTTTGATGCTTTAAAATCACAAAAATGAAGAAGGGATTATGAATCTCCAAGAAAGTTGTATAAAAATTGAAATCTTTCTAATGGGTGTAGATTGGTCTTTTAATGCAATCATTGGCCATAAGCATTTTTAGCTGTGGGATGATTTTGATGGGTTGGATCCAATGGTGAAAGGTGGCTCTTTGTAAAGAAAACAAGGGAGAAAGGATGAACATTAGATGGCAAATCAATTCGATGGCTATTATTCACTTGCATATGATTTTTTTTTTCACCATTTAAAGTTGGAAAGGTAGAGGACTATAACAGAGAATTGGTGTGAAAGTGGGAGGGAAAAGGAGAAAAAAATTGAAAAATTTTGGACCTCCATTGAAGGTATAATTTTTACTACAATTGTCCATTGCATTTGATATCATTTCACATCATTTTTTTGTAGTTTTCATATTGTTTATCCTTTAGTTTTTATGTTTTCATATGAGAATACAACTTCCTTCATAGTTGTTTGTCTCCATAACTCCAAGCTTGGTCTAAAAATTCAACCAACTAATTCATAGTTTAGATTGAAGCAAAAGAGATCAAGATACATAAAAAATCCACCATGAATACTCATTTGGAGGTTTGGCCAAGTTTGTGATCCACCATAGCCGAACCTCTTTTAGGTTGTTTCTAGTATTTTCTTTGCTTTAAATAATATGTATGGAAGTTTTGGGTGTTGTACTAATTGTTGTTTGCATGATTTTTTATTATGTTAGTAGTTTATGTGATGTGTTTGGCTATTATTCTCATTTTTTATGATTTCCTCTATAGGTAGTTTATTGCATGCTTGAAGAAACTTTTTTTTAGGATAAAAATACCTTAATATCAAAATTTTTTATGTTTGATGAAATTTTCAATGACTAAAAGTGCTAGGTTAGTAAGCATTTTAGTGATTTTAGTTTGTTTGCATGAATTAAAAAAAAAAAGTGATGGAACATGTTTTTAAATTTTAAAACCCTTGATTTTGATCCATTTTTACCTTATCGTTACATGTATATTAAGTTTTTAATATATTTGTAAATATATCTTAGTTTATAATATATTTGTTTTCATACATAATTCATACATTAAAGTTTATATTTTCATTAATCGTATTTTGATAATTTTTGTCACATTGCATCAATGCATTAATATTAATACTTTTATCAATAATATTTTTGTTATTTATTTTTATCAAATTCATTTTCCATAAAACCCTATCACTACCAAAATTACAATTAATACTAACGAAATTTTATAGACAAAAATTTTACAAACCTTTATTAATTATTATCGATGAAATTTATTGATAAATTTAATTCTATCAATAATTCATAAGTGATATTTTTGTGCGAATTGTCATGAATTTTATAAATGAAAATTTTCATTGGTAAAATTTTTTTATAAAATTACTTACGAAAAATTCCACAAACAAAAAAGTTTGCAAAAAAAAAATATATTACACGTTACCGACGAAAATTTCGTCGTTAAATCTGTCAATAAAAAAAAAAATTTAAACTCCTCTTCAAGAAACCCCCAACCGACTTTTTTTCTCCCCAAATCAAACCCTAAATCCCTGACCTCTCTCCCCGTTCCCACTCTCCTCTTCCCTTTCTCCCATCGTCGACGTCCCCTCCCCACCGTGTGCCAGCGCTGGCCGGCCGGTAAAGTGACCCCTCCGTCAGAACCGCTAAATTCCTGTCAGCAGTGGAAGTGAAAGGCAAAAAGCTGGTATGCCTTTGACCCATCGAATTTGCATTTTGCTACATCAACAGTTCACTCTATTGTTTAGGGCTTAGGCTTCATAGAATGTAAGGTGTTTTCCTGTACTAAGGTTCCGTTTGATATACTGAAAATGGGTTTCCAGAAAATAACAAATTTTCCTAGAAGGTATTTTCCAGAAAAAAAATCATTTTCCATTGTTTGGATTGTTTTATAGAAAATAATTTCTATTGTTTGTTAAACGCCAAGCCCAACATTTCCTTCCTTCTCCTGTCTCCACTACAAGTCCACAATCCACATGAAGCAGTGCTCCACCGACCACCGAGGCGACGCCATTGACATCGATGAGAAAGTGAAGCAGCTTAAGGAATGCTTGCTCTCAACTTATACATGCAAGTAAATAAAATCTTTGTCTTGTCAAATGGGTATGCTTTGGATTCTATGATTTTCTTGTCTCTTAAAAAAACCCAGTTGAAAAACTTGGCTCTTTGCCAAAAACATAAACAAAGAGAGCTTGGTATAGTATATAAGCTACCTGCAAGGAGATCTCTACAGATTTCATCATCCTCTTCACTGTTTTGGGTTTAGGAAGACCACATTTCTGTTTTTTTTAGAGGTTCAAGCACTTGGGTATAGGAAGACCAAATTTCTGGTGTTTTATAAAATTTCTGAAGCAAGTTTTAAGTTGATCTGGGTTTGCTTCGATGGTTGTTGGTGATTGCTTTAATGGTGGCTGGAGTTGGGTTGTGAGTTTATTGGGTTTGTGAAGGTTTTAGATTGTTTTCCTAGGGATTTCAAGAGGGGAAGATAAAAGAGATAAGCAGCAGAAATTGTCTTCCGGACTAAAAATCCCGAAGACATTTTCACCAAAATCGATACTATTTGCCTTTGACAAAAAAAATGATTTTCTGTTGACTTGATTTTTTTCTATCCAATCACAGGAAAATGTGGAAATCAACTTCCAGAAATCATTCTCTGTTGAAACAAATGGAGCTTAAGAGATACCCAGAATCCTATCCATGATGTTTTATCTTATTTGGTGGAATAATGGATTTCCATTGGACCTTGCACAAGTTTTTCAGTTATTTCAACATCTAAATTCACATATCCATAAAGTGTGTATTAGTCTGGTTAGTTTGTTATAAATATTGCCCGTGAAAATTAGAGTTTTGCATAGTTGATCTTCTGCAGTTGTTTGTAGGGGGAAGTTGTACACTTGTTTTCAGTGAAAGGTTGAAGCTTGCTGTCTGATTAGATCTGAAAATAAAGTAAAATAAAATAAATCAGGTTGAATGATCCAATTGGCTTTCAGTGTAAGGTGGCTTTGCATTTAGATTTTGCCGTCCTTGATTTAATTTTCTGTTAGATCTGAAACAAAAAAAAAAAAAAATTTCAGGTTGAATAATCAAATGGGCTTTCAGTGTAAGGGAATAAATGTTTACTCGTATTGCTAGTTATTGGTATGTTTGCTTCTCAATTTCATGTCAAAAAACTAGTTGTTTGTATGGAATGGATTAGTTGAAAACGAAAGTATGATATGAAGAGCCATGTTCATTTCTTGTTTGTCTCAGATGACAAGATGCTCAAGAAACAACTAGACAATGGGTTTATGCATTGCAATTGAAATTATGGAAGTTGCTGTGAGAGCTTATGTAGCAAGGAAGTCAAGGCAGAGCTGTCCTGGTTCTGTAGCTGATCTTGTAAGGTGTGGCCAGCTAAGATCAGATAGAAGAAGCATGTATGATTTCGTTCTGTGATACGTTTTCCTTTTTTCTTCTGGCTGCCTGGCCGAGGATGTTAATTTCATGAATATATTGCTTTAGGGTAGTTTGGCTGCTTAAGGGCTTTCATGATATATAATATGACGGGCTAATTATTTATTCTTAATGCTGGCATTTCATTGTATGTTCCTATCAGTTTTAATTTCTGCTGCTATAGATGATGAAGATTTCTGTCACATTTCACAGCTTTGGCTGCAATTTGCTTGTGTTAATGGTATTGTTTAATTACAAAATCTGTTTTTTGCAGATCAAGACCTTTCAAGTATGAGGACCCATTTAATAATCCATTGGTGAAGGTTGGCAAGAGCAATTCAACCGTAGACATGTGTGGAAAGCTTTATCGCTTAGCTCCAGTTACACTTAACCAAAGAACAACAAGCTATCCATCAGAAAAGGAGATCGATAGCATACTAGTAGAAGCTCCAGTAACATTTTTACTGATTTTTGTTGAGTATTATTGAGTTTTTAAGGTTTTGTTGAAAGCTTTCAGGTATAATTCATGGATAACTTTCCCTTTTGTGTGTGGAAGCGATTTCTAATGAGATGTTTTGATCCCTATGTGAGTGAATCATGTTATTGTCCTTTATATTGCATTGTTTGATAGCATTTGATACTACTGCTAGAATTGGTGAGAGATCTCAAGGTTCTGTATTTTCTTATGCGCCTTAGATGTGAATATGAAATTTATATTGCTCCATGCTCACTTTGGCCATTTGTGAATTGCAATGCTCATTTCAATTAGGTTTAGGATTTACGTCAGCTATGTTGCATGGACATAGGATTTGGTGTGAGACATGGTATATATCAGACAGTTATTTTCAATTTTTTACATCTAAGATCTATGCATCATTCTTCTATAAATTAAAGCATTCAAGAATTATGGGACACAGGTATAGTAGGATAAAATGAATAGTCCATTTAACATAGCAAACCAGATGCCTTCTATACTTGTTTTCTTTCTTGATGGACCTAAATACTTTGTTGACTATTTCTACATTATCATTTTACAATGGGCAGGTACTAAAGGTATAGTTGGTCATTACCTATTTTTTTCCAGTTTAGATCATTGAAAGCAGGTAGAACTTAAGACACAAATTGCTTTGCTGTTCTGTCTAAATTTTCTTCTTGGTCTTGTTTCTTTTGCTAAAATGCTGACTGTTATTCACTGTGAACTTTTGTTTGTCAGTGGAGTTTCATTTAGAAAATTTTTGAAATCTTGGTTACTGTTGGTTTCAGGTATGAAAGATGAGGTTGATACAAAATCTAAGCCAGTCTAGGCTGAGGCAAAAGGTTACTTCCCTTTTATCTTCCTTCCTGTGCTTATCTGTAATATGTCTGTCACTTTAATGTTCCAATTTTCATTTTTAATTTGGTTTTGCAGTGGAAGACAAGTAGCTGCTCCAGAGGATGCTGAAGCACTGGATGAAATGGAAACAGAAAAGAAGCGCCACTTAAATGTTGTTTTTATTGGTTATGTTGGTAGGTATACTACTTCATGGTTTTGTTTATATGAAAGTAAGCTTGCATTACATATCAGTGTCCATTATGAACAGGACTTGCTAAGCTAGGGAAACAGTTAAAAATTATACGATTAACCTCTCAAGTCCCTATTTATTATGTGTTTTTGTGAGCTCAATTATGTGTATGAGCCACTTGCATGAATTATCTGACTAGAATCTTAATTCACTACCTGATCAATAACGAGAATGCCTTACAACCACAGGATTTTCGGTAATTGCATTATCTGACTTACCTATTTTCCATGTGTTAGGTATATGGCATATATTATGGTCGCTAATGAAGAGAAGAGGGTTAAGGTACCGAATTATGGGGAAATGCTGTTATATAAACTTCGAAAATATGTGTTGTAAGGAAAGGAAGGGCTGTCAACATTCACATGTTTTGTAGATATTTTAAGTATTGTATATTAAAAGTACTTGTTTATTTGATTTGCGTGTATTACCACATGTTTGCATGGAATTTCTAACACATGTATTTTTTGTATTTTTATTTAATAGAATTCATAAATAATTTTGTAAAATATTTTATATTCTTTTATAAATAAAATGGAGCATTTTGTTTGTTTATTTTTTCTATTTATATATATTTAGTATTCATGTAATTACTTTAAAATAAATTTTTAAAAAATAAAATGACAAAAATTATAAATAAAATATATTAAATATAATTATCGATGAATTTATTGATGGAATGTCAACAGATTTTTTTTCGGTAAATTTTGTAACAATTTCATTGGTAAAAGTCATTTTTTGGTAATGAAAATTATTATCAAAACCAAAATCCTAAACTCCAAAACTAAATTATAAACCTAAACTCTAAATCTTAAAATCACAATTTAAACTTAAAACCTAAATTCTAAACCAAACCCAAATGCAAATCTCAAATTCTAACTTAGACTCCAAACTAATTCTAAAACCTAACCTAGACCCCAATTAACTTTAAAACCTAAACCAAACCTCAAACCCTAATCTAGACCTCAAATCAAACCAAACCCTAACCTAAACCAAACCAAAACCTTAAAACTATCTCTAACCCTAAAAAACTTGAGCCAATTTCCTAAACCCTAAAATCAAACTTTGACCCCATTCATGCACTTGCATCTCATTTTACTTTATTGTTACATGCATTCTTAAATTACCATGCATTTATATCTTGTCATTCATGTTTAACCATTATGCATTCATCATTATTATTATATTCATGTATATCATGCATATGGCTTTCAAAAATGAGTTTTCATAAGAAAAATGATTTAAAAAATAAGATGAAATAGTTTTTGAGATCTAACCTAAATATAGGGAGGCTTTCAATAATTATTTTTTATGCAAGGTGTCATCTTGGTTTTGTGAGGCAATTTAAAAATTCTTAAGTTCGAAATATTTTTGAAACTCTACCTAAATATAAAAGAATGAAAAAGGTGTGCTGATACTTATGATATTTTTATCTTGATCCAAAAATAAATTATTTTGCTTTAAAAAATAAAAAACTAAAAAATGATTTACTTTGAAAAAAAATTAGTTTTTAAAATAAATAAATGAAAAAGAAAGGAATTAATTTCTAAACATTAAAAATATAACCATTCCTATCAAAATCTAAGGATAATATGCAATTAATTGGTATTGTTTTCAATGAACGCTGTAGGGGTGCTAATCCTTTTTCACGTGTAACTGACACTTTGACCCAACTTTGTTTTCACAAACCACAAAATTTTCTTTTATAAAACTCTTAACCTGTTTAAATGTTTTATCAAAAAGATAATTTTTGGGTAGCCAATCACACTCTGAAAAAGATTGTTGGTGACTCTTCAATTTTGTTTTTATTGAAAATGGTTTTTAGCACCTCGTTTGTTTTTATCATTCCCCAAGTTTGACGGTCGGGTTCTTCGAGTCCATACGTTGTGACAAAGAGATACAAGGAGCTCCTAAGGAGATATCCATACTAAGGACTACTTAAATGGCTAGAGTTCAGATTTTATATAATGGGTTGATACTGAACACTAGGACCATCTTAGATGCTACGACAAGAGGTGCCTTGATAAGTAAGACCTCTGACATTGCTTATGAGTTGATAGAGGATATGGCCACCAATAGCTATTAATGGTCAAATGATAGATAACATCCTATGAGAGCTTTAAGGGTGTACGAATTTAGTAAGCTTACAACGTTGAATGCTAATTTAGATTCCCTAGCCAAATCTTTCGAGTCTTTGAACCTTAAAGTCACATCCTCTGAGTCAATTCATAGTCATTCCAAATTCACCCATAGTTCCATAGCTTGTTGTGAAGTATGTGGGATAGGTCACTTGAAGAGTCTTGTCCTAGTCACTTAGAGATTGTTCATTATGTAGGATAGAACCTTAGGTAGCCTAACAATCCCTATTTTTCTAACAAACCCAACTTGATGGAACAATCCCATCTTTTCATGGAGTCAGCAACACCAACATAGTAACCCACCCTAGTTTAGCCTAGTCATAAACCACAATAGCACCACCACAACACCACTAGTACACTAGACAACATAATGCCCTAAGTTTCCAACAAACACCATATCAATAACAATAGCACCCATAGCATTACACTCTTTCATATCCACCTATGCCATCATTTGAAAAGAATACCTTATTTGAAGATCTCTTAGGTTCCCTAATTAAAGTTTAAACCTCTTTCATGCAAAGTCAAAATACCATGTTTCATAATAAGACTTTGTTAGTTAAGAACCTAGAAACCCAATTAGTTAGCTACCTTCTTAAATACCTAATCCTAGCACCTCACCCAATAACATAAAGGTCAACTTCATGAGGGAAAGAAAGAGTAATGCAAAGCCATTATCGTTAAGTGTGAGAGGTAGGAAGCTAGTGGCCTAATCTAGGTAGGTTCCTAAAATGCAGTAGTTAATGAGTTTGAGGATGAGGCTAAGGGACACCTAGTTCAAAAAGAGGATAAGGGTAAGAAGGTGGATGTAAGTGTAAAACATACCTAGTTATCTCAAGCACCTGCACAGAGTTCATTAACCAATTCATCTAGGTCTACTCCTCCTAGAGTCATGCCACCTAAGCCTTCTATTCATTTCACTAAACGATTTCAAAAGCAAAGAGAGAAGAAGTAATTCTTTAAATTTTTAGAGGTGTTTAAGAAGTTGCATATCAACATCCCTTTTGTGGATACATTAGAGCAGATACCCACTTATGCCAAATTCATGAAAGATATTATCTCTCGAAAAAAAAAAAGATTAGAAGATTATGAGATAGCTACACTTACCAGAGAGTACATATATTCGATTTAAAGAGGATTACCTATGAAGTTGAAAGATTCTGGTAGTTTTACCATTCCATGCACTCTAGGTAGTATGTCTTCCAATAGAGCTTTATGTGACCTCGGTACTAGTATTAACTTGATGCCTTAGTTCATTTTTCAAAAATTAGGCATATAAAAGGCTTAAGCCCACCTCTGTGACTTTGTAGTTGGCTGATATGTCATTGAAATACCTTATAAGGATTGTGGAGAATGGCTTGGTTCAAGCAAAAAAATTTATTTTTCCAACTGATTTCATAGTACTAGATATGGAGGTGGATTGAGAGATCCCAATAATTATAAGGAGACCTTTCTAGCCACTGGTAGAGCTTTGATTAATGTACAGAAAAGCAAAATTATCTATACGAGTTTAGGATCAGGAGGTTCAGTTTAATGTTTTCAAGGCTTTGAAATATCTTGATAATTTTGATAAGTGCTCAAGGTTAGAAATAGTTGGTGATTTGATTAATGATGTTTTTCACCTAGAGCACCCTATCTCGCATCTTAAGAAAGCCCCTATAGTCAATGATGTAAAGGATATGGATTTGAGTGATAATGATGATGATATATTGATTGTCTTTACTTGTTAATTTGCACCAATAGTGTCGAGCCTTTAGTTGATTCTTACACTCTCCTTAAAGTGATTAGACTTTTTGCTCTATATCCACCAGTCTTAGAGTTTAAACTATTACCTTCACACCTTAGGTATGCTTACCAAGGTAAGGATAACACTTTGCCCATGATCATATCATCATTCTTAATTGATGATCAAGAAAAATAACTTTTTTCTGTCCTACGTGATCATAGACTAGCTATAGGTGGTCCATTGCTGACATTTGAGGCATTAGTCTGTCTTTTTGCACACATAAGATTTTAATGAAGGATAGATTTTGCTCAACCATTGAGATGCAACGTAGGTTGAATCTGGTTATAAAGAAAGTGGTGAAAAAAAATCATAAAATGGCTGGATGTTGGCATCATATATTTGAGTGCATGGGTCAGTCTGATTTAGTGTATGCCAAAGAAATGATGGATGATTGTGGTGTCTAGTAAGAATAGTAAGATGATTTCCACTAGGATTGTTATCAAATACTGGGTGTGTATCGACTATCGTAAGTGGAACAAGGTTACAAGAAATGACCATTTTCCTCTTCCTTTTGTTGATCATATGTTGGGTAGAGTATTCGGACATGAGTATTGTTTTTTTCTTTATGGATATTCTAGATACAACCAGATAGCTATAGCACCCAAAGACCATGAGAAAATTACTTTAACTTGTCTTTTTGGTACCTTTACCTTTAAGAGAATGCCATTTGGACTTTGTAATGCCCTGGCTACCTTTTAGAGGTGTATGATGGTGATTTTTCTAATATGGTAGAGGATTTACTTAAGGTGTTCATGGATGATTTTTTGATCTTAGATGATAGCATTGAGAATTGTCTTGATCACTTAGCTCTCATTTTGACTAAATGTGAGGTGACCAACCTAGTATTTAATTAGGATAATGTCATTTCATGGTTAGAGAAGGAATAGTGCTAGGTCATAAGGTTTTTCTATGGGTATAAAGGTTGATAGAGCTAAGATTAAGATGATAGAGATATTGACACCTTTGACTATAGTTAAAGGTGTTAGAAATTTTCTTAGATATGCGGGTTCTATAGGAGATTCATTAAAGATTTTTTCAAAATTTCTAAACCCTTATGCAGGTTGTTGGAAAATGAGGTAAAGTTTAAGTTTGATGATGATTGCTTGCATACTTTTTGAATGCTTAAAGAGAAGCTAGTTTTTGCTTTGGTCATTGTAGCACCTAATTTGGCTTTACCATTTAAGCTCAAGTATGATACTAGTGACTATGTAGTAGGAGTTGTTTTAGGACAGAAGATAGAAAAGCAATTTCTTGCCATATATTATGCAAGTACGACTTTAAATGAAGCTCAATTAAACTATACAACTACTAAGAAAGAGTTATTAACGGTTGTATTTGCTTTTGATAAATTTCGCTCTTATCTCATAGGATCTAAGGTCATAGTTTATACTAATTAAGTTGCAATTAGATTTCTCATGTCCAAGAAAAGTGTAAAGCCTAGGTTGATTAGCTAGATTCATCTCTTATAGCAGTTTGATTGAGAGATTAGAGATAAGAAGGGATTGAAGAATCATGCAGTTGACCATCTTTCTAGGTTAGATAATGGCGACATTGATAGTGATTTGAGCATTAGTGAGTGTTTTCCTAATGAGTAGTTGATGACATTTAGG